ATAAGCTGAGAGTTGGGAACCTGTGTGGTCATAAAGATGAGGTCCGCTGTCACATTCCGGGGCGCTCAGGGCCCTCCTGGCCACATGACCTGGGAGATGTGTTAGACAAAAGCGTTTTTCTAGGAGAATTCTCCCGAAAGGGTTTGGCCAATGGAAAGGAACGTTTGAGGGAGCCTGATCTCATTGGAGACAAGTGAACATATGTGTGCACGTTCATATGTGAATGAATACTCCCACAGATGCTACGGTATCCTAGAAACCGAGGTGGGAGAGCACGGAGCTTCACAAACACCCTGTTAGGATATCTCATTTATTTTCAGGCCTCTCTCATCACCATGCTGGGAGGGAAGCCCAGGAGAGACTCACCACACAAGAAGACTTGTCAGTGAGGACTTAGGGTGGCCAAAACACATAGTCTGCAGAAACCTCATCACTCAGAACCCCACAATAAAGCTGGTCTTTTTATGTGCAGTAACACCAGGGAAGTCTCATCCATTCCGTGGAAGTCCACAGAGACACCTGGAAGCCACTTCTATTACCCAGCATGTGTCATACTTGTCTAACACATGGACATGAAGCAAGGTCACCGTCCCCTCTGACTTCAGTGGTTGCTAACATGTTGGCTCTCACCTGCAGGGGCTTGTAGTCCTCTTACAGAAGTAAGTTCCCGGAAAGAAACAGGGAGAGCAGTTAGGAGGTTATTGCAAGGAAGACTTCCATCAGTTGGTGGCAGTAGAGGTAGTGAAAAGTAGCTGGGTTCTGGTTGTATTTCAAGAACGGAACCAATGAGATTTGAAGACAGATTGGGTGTGGGAGGTAAGCAAGCATCAGCGATGACTCCAAGGTTTTGGATTCAAGCAAACAGAAAGATGGAGTTCTCGTGCTGAAAGGAGAAGAATGGTGGAGAAACAACTTATGGGAGAAGACAAGGAGTTAAATTCTGAATGGACTGTGGTTTAAAAATAAAGGGAGAGAGAGAGAGAGAGAGAGAGCACCAGATGTGGTGGTCCACACCTTTGATCCCAGGCAGAGGTAGGTGGATCTCTGTGAGTTCAATGCCAGCCTGGAACACATAGCAAGTTCCAGAACAGTCAGGAATACACAGTGAGACCGTATCTCACTGAGGGGAAAAGGTTATATTTATGTTTCAAATTCCTGAAAACAGAAATAATTCAAATGATGAGATTTCAGAGACCCTGAAACAAAATAAAACGAAATCATTATGGTTAAAGGATGTCGAGCTTAGGAAGTGGAAAGGTTACATTGATCTCTCTGGGTGGTCCTCTAGAGAGGCCTAAGTGGGATGCAGAGGCAGGGTGACGCAGATGTGAAGCATGAGTGGTTAGAGGTCACACTAGTAATAGTGTGAGGTGTGCAGAATTTTAACTGATTGACTCAAACCCTAGAAATGGGCAAAACAGCAAACAGATCAGATCTGTGGCACCACACTACATCATATAATAAATCTGGAGTTTTTCGTGACATAGGTTTATAATCCTGTTGTAACATAGATCAAAAACAGTGGACTGAATGAGAAACTCAACAAATTCTCAGAATCGAAATCTTTTTTTATTTCACTGCAGAGCTGTGAATGACTCCTATATTTGTTTTTAGGTGTGATGTGATGAAGCTCAATAATAGGGGCTGGGGAGACGGCTCAGTGGTTAAAAGCATGTACCACTAACTATAGTTCCAGAGGCCCCAGGTTCAACTCCCAGCACCCACATTGTTCACAGTCATCGGTAACTCCGGTTCCAGGGAATCTAATGCCTGCTCCTGTCTTCTAAAGGCAGAGACAGGCCACTGGTGCAGACACACATACAGGCAAAACACCCATACACATACATTTAAATAGAACAAAACTACTCAATGCTTGTCTTTACATCAACTCATGAGGCATTTTATAAAGTATGTCCTGATACTCCCTGAGCCACAAGACACACTTGGGTGGGCCTACGCCCTATCCCAAAGGACTTGATAGACTCTGATGACACCCTATGGAAGGCCTCACCCTCCAGGAGGAGCAGAAAAGATATATAATAGGTAGAGTTTTAGTTGGGGGGTGTGGGGGAAGAGGGGAAGTAGAGGGAACTGGGATTGACATGTAAAACAATCTTGTTTCTAATTCAAATAAAAAAAGAATAAAAATTTCTTTTAAAAAGTATGCCCTGTGAAGCTTTCTTGACAGGGTATGCCACAGCCCTCCCCAACCCTGAACCATGTTTCCAAATTCAGTAACTCAAAGTCCCCTAGCTCAGAGGCCAATGGTTGAGCTGGTGAATGTTATAAGCATCTGAGTCCATTAGCCTACAAGAGTGACAACACAGATTTAAAATAGTTCTACAGATGCTTATTTACATGTCCTAAGACTACTGGAGAATAGAAAAATTGAGAAAATCCTTTCCTCACATTTCCAGTCAATAAATGAAGAAGAAAGAAGAAAAGGGAGAGAGAGACAGAGAGACAGAGAGAGAGAGAGAGAGAGAGAGAGAGAGAGAGAGAGAGAGATTGTTATGTAATCTTAACTCCCCCCCATCCCGCACCTTGTTGCAGACTGCTAGTCACCTAGTCTAGACTCTTCATATGTGGAACACAAGTCATATCATTATAATGAAGTATATAATATTTCAATCTCCTGGTTTTGTGAAATCTTCTGGGTGTTGTAGAAGAGTAAAAATGTTCAGCTTTGTAGACTTCATCATTTAGTGCAAAAGAAAATAAAATGACATGGTGGTTGAATAACTCCCAATGTGGCAAAAACGGTTCCCCAGACAAGTCATTCACCTACTGAATTGGAGCTGATTGACGTTTAAGTGGCTTCACAGGTGTTCGCTCAGAAAAAAAAAAAAAAAGGTTAATCATCTCCTATTCATTTTCTTCTTTTATAAGATATTGCCAGTAAAACTCAAGAAAAATACCAAAAACTACCCGTCTAGGTCTATGGCATGTTTATTTGAACAATGGGTTCACACCAGTGCTTGAGACATGAAAACTAGAGAATGCCTGTTTCATCAAAAACAACTAGACTGGGTTCCTCTTCACTATATCAGAAAGGGAGAATTCCAAACCAGGGTTCATGCAATACTGGATTGAGCAAATGGCCAAATTAGGGTGTTCAAATAAAGTAGATGCATTGAAGAGCAGGGGTGTAAAGCTACCCATCAGTGATGTAGACAAAACAGATGTTTGGCTCTGAGATCCTGGCAGGCATGCCATAAGGAGGTCACCATCATGCTCACGGCTTGTGTGTAGGAATTGTGAGAGGCAAATGGAAAAGGAGCACAAGTCCTTGTCTTACAGAAGCTCAGACATCAGTGACCCACAGAACAAGCTGGATCTCCCCTTAGATCAACTGATTCACACTCTGGATTTCCACCTCACACCAACTGATTCACACCCTAGACCTCTGCTGGTGCCTAGAGTTTGTCTGGAATCCCAGTTACCCACATTCCCCTGTAGTCTTCTGCTACCCACTGACTTCATTTTGCCCCCTCCTAAAAAAAGGACACTGCCTCAATTCCCTGCTTTTGTCCTCTGCTTCGTCTCTCTTCCGTCAAATAAGGAAAGAAAAGCAATGTGTATGTCTCATAACTGGTGTATGTGAAGAACCCCGTGTCTTCCAGCATGTCTTCAACACAGGTGCAATGGGTCATAGATATGTTACTCTTCCTATTTCCACCTAGGATTGTGAAGATGTCCAGCCCCAATCTGAACATTGTGACCTTACTGGGCAGTTGTCTGACTTACAGCAGCGCTTACCTTTTTGGGATTCAAGATGCTTTGGTGGGGAATTCCATGGAAGCGCTCATTCAGGTAGGTAACATTTGCAAATTTTGTTTCAGACACCAAGTTGAACTTAGATAATGTTTCATGCTCATAGCTCCTCCTATGAGCGGCAGTTATGTATCTGTGTTATGGGCATTCAGGGAGGCCCACTTTCTACCCCATGTCCCCTGTGGGCCTGAGACATTGAAGATGGATGAGGGTTCCACTTGTGACTCTTGCTTCTGTCCCTCCCCCAACCCCCCAGATGAGACTGTCCATGCTGTGCATTGGGACATCCCTTGTGTTCGGCCCTATCCTGGGGAAGAGCTGGCGACTCTACAAGGTGTTTACCCAGAGGGTCCCGGACAAGAGAGTGGTGAGTTGGCAGCCAGTACACAATGCTGGGCTGGCTGCCCCAGGAGCTCCATGGTGGCTCAGAGCTGTGGGAGTTAGTACACATCTCTGGGATGACTATAGGATGGCTGGAATTCTTGTTCCTCATTTCAATCCTTAGAGTCACATGGCTCCATAAAGCCCCAGACTTCTAGGACTGAGAATGAGAACTAGATCTTTAAACAGTGGCTGCTTTAAGTACACCCACCCCAGGCTCCATGGGAACCTGTGAGCTGGCCAATACCTGGCACAGTGGGAGTGAAAACAAGATGCCCAGAGAGACTGGCTCTTGGCACAGACAGGAGCTGCCATCAAAAGTGTGAGTGTAGAGAGGCTATAACAAGAAGCCGAATTATTCCTCTCCCTAGGGCTCAAGTCTCTTCCATGCCGGCAATTCTCCACACTGTGAAAGGGCGTAGCCAAAGCCGTGATCAAGAACAGGGACATGGCGGGTAGAATTGATGGTGCAAGCCACGCAGCAGTCAGGTCATCTGCATGGCCCTGACACCCAGCATTTATTATAACCATACTCCTCCATTTTACCAGATTCCCTGATACAACTGCCCAGACCTCAGAGCCAGACCAGGGGCCTCTTCGGCTAGAGATTCCCCAGACCTCGGATATAATTCTGTCAGACTTCTTCTCTGTAATTATGGGATTTTTAAAACCAAACATTGTCAAATCATGGTGGATACTTAGCAAAAGTTCAGCTGTGAATAACAACACAGATGCAGAAAGTTGCCTAAAAGGACAGAATTCATCACTCTTGATTCCATTTCCAAAAATAGCTTTTTTGAGGTATAATTGACACCCAAGAAATACAATATAAAAAGTGTGACATTGTATTCACCTGGCAAAGGAGACACCATGTTCAAGGCAGGTGGTTTTCCCAGAAAGAGGCTCACACATTGCACTCGGGATGTGCTGGCCCCTGAGATTCCCACGTACATAGGAAACTTCCATGATTTGTGGTAGTGAGGGACTGTATTAGCTCTCTCTCCTGAATAAAAAGTGTGATTTTATGTCTTAACCCATGGAACACGTGATCCAGCAAACTCCACCATCCCCACATGCTCAACATCCTCTGCCCATTGTTACATTGTTACATGATCCCTCGCTACCCATAGGACACCTCTGTTTTGCTTTCTGGCTTTGAAGATTAGCTTTCACTTTTCAGAGTTTCACATAAATGGAATCGTGGCTGGAGAGATAGCTCAGCAGTTAATGGAGTAGGGTTCCCAGGACCCAGGTTTGGCATGTGCACATACCTGCACACAGGTGCACCCATTTACATAATTTCAAACTAAAAATAAATCTTAAGAAAACAAATTTTAGACATCTTTATTTTATGTGTATGAGTGTTTTGCCTACACGTATGTGTATGCACCATGTGTGTGCCTGTGACCAAGAAGGAAAGAAGAGGGCATCAGATTCCCCTAGAACTGGAGTTACAGATGGCTGTGAGCCACCGTTTGTGTGCTGGGGAGCAAACCGGATCCTCTGCAAAAGCAGACAGTGCTCTTAACCACTGGGCCATCTCTCCAGCTCCTAAAAGCAATTGAAAAAAAAAAGGTTATCCTTAGCCACATAGTGAGCACACATGAGACTCTATCTCAAAAATAAATAAATAAGGAAAAATACAGTTTGCTGCTGGTGACATAGTATAGTGGGAAGAATGCCTGCTGTGTAGAATACGGTGGGCACTCTCGTTTAGTCTGGTTTGTTTTAGTCATGTAATTATTTTGAATATAATTACTCGTCCATGCTGCTGTGTACATCAATAGTTTATCTGTTCATCCATTGGTGGAGTTTGGGTTGCTTCCATTTTGAGACTAATACCGATAAAGGTGGTGTGAACATTCGTGTACACATCTCTGCATAGATGCATGCTTCCATTTCTCTTTGCTAAAAACCCGAGAGCACAGTGGTTGGCTCATACGGTTAAGTGTGTATTTTAACTTTGTTTTGGTTTTGGTTTTTGAGGCAAGGTCTCACTGGGTAGCCCTGACTTGCCTGGAACTCACTATTGTTATCAGGTTGGCCTTGAATTCAAGAGATCTGCCTGCCTCTGCTTCCTGAGTACTGGAATTACAGAGGTATCCCCTGACATCCAGTGCTAACTTAGTCTCTGTGGATTATGCTTTGGATATTAAATATAAGAAATGCAACATTTTTTTCTCCTGCATTTACTCCTAGAAACTTTAGTGTGTGTGTGTGTGTGTGTGTGTGTGTGTGTGTGTGTGTGTGTGTGTGTGTGTGTGTTGTGTGCATGCAAACATGTGTGACAGAATGGGTACACTTGCCACAGATTGTGGGTGGTCCTCTCCTTTCACCACTTGGGTCCTTGGGGTCAGCTCAGGTCATCAGGCTTGTTGGCAAGCAGTTTTACCTGCTGGACCATCTCACCAGCTCTCAAGCAAGTTTTAAATTGGTTTGCCAATCTGCACAAAAATCATGTTGGGATTATGACTAGAAATGTATTGAATCTAAGATCAAACTACTGAGAATTGATTCCTTAACAATGTTAGTTTTTAGCCCATGACTACTGTGCATTTCCCCACTTATTTAGGTTTTTATTAATTTATCTCAGCAGTGTTGTGTATTTCACATACTTTTTAGCCAGATTCATTACTCTTTAAATTGTTATACTTTGTATATTTAATTGTTTGTAAACTACACTTTTACACTGATTTTTGCTCATATGCAGACACAGAGGTGGTTGGTTTTTGGTGCTGATCTTGTATGTTTCAACCTTGCTAATTTACCTAATAGTTCTAGCAGCTTTGTTTTTTAAGACAGTCCCACAATATAGTCCAGGTTGACCTGTGTAGTCTAGGTTGGCCTCAGATTTGTGGGGATCCTCCTGTCTCAGCTTCCAAAATGCCAGGAATATAGCTGTTCTAGGGCATGCAGATTTTCTAGCAACTTTTTAATAAACTCCATTAGATTCTCTGTGTTGATGTCATATCACCTGTGAATAAAGAGCTCTTTTCTAATAGAACTGGTCAAAAACAACAGTACAACTTTAAATTGGGGTGATGAGCAACATATCCCTCATTTATTGTTGTTTTATATAAATTTGTGTCTTGACCACATGTATGTTTGTGCACCATGTGCATGCAGTGCCCAATGAGGCCAGAAGAGGGCATCAGATCCCCTGGAACTGCAGTTAGAGATGCTTGAAGGCACCATAGGGATGATGGGAACTGAACCTCAGCCGATGCTCTTAACAAATGAGCCCTCTTTCCCGCCCCCTTCAATTATTCTTGATTTATGGGGAAGGTGTTCAGCCCTTCCATGCTAAGAACAAATTGGGTGTGGTTGCCTATCCAGTAGTCCTAGCACTTGGGAAGCAGAGTCAGGAATTTGGTGAGTTTGAGACCAGCCAGAGCAAGACCCTGTCTCAACAGTTGTGAAACTGTGTTATACTCTTTGTATTTGGTAGAATTCCTCTTTGGCCAGGTGGTGGTGGCACACACCTTTAATCCCAGCACTCGGGAAGCAGAGGCAGGCGGATATCTGTGAGTTCGAGACCAGCCTGGTCTACAAGAGCTAGTTCCAGGACAGCCTCCAAAGCCACAGAGAAATCCTATCTTGAAAAAAAAAATATTTTGTTTGGGGTTGTGCTTATACTTTTAGTAAATATTGTTTTGTAGTTTTCTTTTTCTATGGAAGATTTATTTACCTAGTTTGGGTATTGGAGTGGCTTGATCTGTTGGGCACTGGGGGCTGGCAGTGGGACCAGGATCTTGTCTCTGGTGCATGAGTTGGCTTGTTGGAGCCCATTCCTTATGATGGGATGCCTTGCTCAGCCTTAATGCAGGAGGGCAGGCTTGGTCCTGCCCCAACTTAATGTGCCAGACTTTGTCTACTCCCCATTGGAGGCCTTACCTGTTGGGAGGAGTGAATTGGGGGTGAGCTGAGAGGGAGGCAAAGGAGGCAAGAGGAAGGGTGAGAGGGAGAACTTTGCCTTGTAGTTTTCTTTTTCTATAGTACATTTGTTTATCTAGATTGGGTATAAGGGTAATCCTGACCTTGTAGAATGAGTTGGAAACTATTCCTTCCTCTTCAGCTTCTAGAGTGTTTTGTTTACGATAGTAATATTATTATGTACTTGTCACTGTCATAGGATAACCACTATGCAACAGTCTACTTTCATTTCTTCTTATCCCAATCTTTGTGTTATTGCGTTCATTTTACATGTGCTATCAGCCCCACTCAGTTGTCATAATTTTTTATTAAACAATTATCTTTTAAAGGTATTTAGCAAAAATAAATCACATCTTTTCCTACGTAATTGACATTTCTAGCGCTCTTAATTTACTGCATACATTTGTTTGTTTGTTTGTTTTTTAAGACAAGGTCTCACTATGTATCCCTAATTGGCCTGCCAGTCAGAGAGATCCACCTGCCTCTGGCTCCCAAGTGCTGGAATGAAAGAAGTGTGAAACCACACTCAGCCTTATATCCCCATTTTCATTTGGTATCATTTCCCTTTGGTCTGAAGGATTAAGAACGTTCGGCTGTACAGTGCCGAACTCTTTCAGCTTCATAGGGATGAAAACATCTTTATTTTGAGTGTGTTTCCAAAAGACACGTAGCCATTTGCTTGTTGTGTGGTACTGGGGGTGGAGTTCAGAGCCTTGTGGTATTGGGGGTGGAGTTCAGAGCCTTGCTCCTACTTGTCAGTCTACCACTAGCTGTATCCCAGTCTTTGAATATTTCCTTTTGGTTTCTGTACTTAGATGAAGATGGCCCTCTCCCACTGTCTTCTCACTGGGCCTTATACTGTGAGGTCTGGCACTGTCTTGATCTTTGCTTCTTGGTACAGAGCGTGTCTTTCCACTGATTGCTAGCAGTGGTTTCTCCTCTGAGCAATTTGATTAAGCAATGTTTATCTTGCTCTTGCGAACATTATAACTGTCTTGCTTCTTTCCGAGGGTGGTTGTCGAGAACTTGGAACTGCCACATTGTCACCCTGTACAAAACCCAACTCCAAAGGGATCAAGGACTTCAACATAAGACCAAATACCCTGAACTTGGTAGAAAAGAAAGTGGGACTAGGTTTGAACTCATTGGCACAGGAAAGGCCTTCTCAACAGGACAGTGATAGCACAAGCATTAGGACCAACAAGGGGACTTCATGAAGCTAAAAACTTCTGTACAGAAAAGACACCATCATTTGGACAAAGCAGAAGTCTACAGAATGCAAAATTCTACTAATTAGGTAGTAATCTAGAGTATATAAAGAACTAAAAAAATATCAAAACAGTCTTATATATCTTTTATTAAATTGTCATAATCAATTTAAGATTTATTGTCATAAAAAGAGCAGTCTCTTCATACTAGTGAATCTATAGAGAAAATACTAATAATGCCTCCATCTTTCAGTCCCATCTCTGAGTTATGGCAAAGTCTGGTAGTAGCTCTCCACATTTCTCATGTGCTCATAGAGATAAAAGTGAACTTCCTTTACAAGACCACTGGAAACCTTTGCCAGAAAAGTTAGGACATCAAAACATTAAACAAGCTGGGTGGTGGTGGCACACGCTTTTAATCCCAGCACTTGGGAGGCAGAGGCAGGCAGATTTCTGTGAGTCTGAGGCCAGAATGGTCTACAGAGTGAGTTCCAGGACATCCAGGCCACACAGAGAAACCCTATCTTCAAAAACTAAAACAAAACAAAAGTTAAACAAATGGAAAGGTTTAATGGTAACAATAACAATAACTGAATAGACTCTCAGGGAAGGCATTCAGTCTTGCAGTCCTCATCGGTGTTGTTGTTGATGGCTGCGTTTGACTCTCCAACAGAGCGCTGTCACTATAGCCCATAGCTCAGAGCACAGGGCACACTCTAGCACCCGTGTTAAATACAGCCAGCAAGAGAGGAGACATCTTGACCTTGACTCTTTTGCAGATTATCAAAGACCTGCAGTTGCTGGGTTTGGTGGCAGCCCTGGTGGTGGCTGATGTAATCCTGCTTGTGACGTGGGTGCTAACAGATCCCATCCAGTGTCTTCAGATCCTTGGTGTCAGCATGAAGGTGAGGGCCTCTCCCTAGGCAATCTAATTCCTGATTGAGCTGGCTTCTGTGACTGTTATTGTCTCATCAGCAGTTGTCCTGCAAAGAAGTAGGGAGCGGTGGCTGCCCTGAGCACCTTGTACCTTGTCTGCAGGCTGAGCTGCCACCTACAATGCTCCTTGTGCCCCCCAATCTTCTCGTGGGTGTCCTCCCAGATGTCAGAGATGGGGAATCTGCCTGACAGCTCTCTCTGCTTGCACAGAGACACTGATGAGAACTAGCTCTAGGGAGTTGCCTTCCCCTCCCTGTTGGGAGATAAAGGTGAAGTTTTGATTTTGTCATTGTAATCATTGGACTTCAGTTCAAATCACAGCCTGCATCAGCCGTGCCCCTGGGGGAAGGCTGCATAACCCAAGTATCCTTTCCAGATAGAGGGGTAAGGAGGGGCTAGCAATGCTGCCTAAGCACTCTGGTTTAGGTTCTAACAGAACCTAAATTTTTCTACATTTTTCCATACTGAGAGGGGACATTCTATGCTATGGAAGAATTCACACCCCAGGAAGTTCACAGAGCTCTGCTGTGTGGTCCCAGGAATTTGAATCCCTTGGTTGTGACCCTCGTGTCCCTCACAGGTGACAGGGAGAGATGTGTCCTGCTCTTTGACCAACACACACTTCTGTGCTTCGAGGTACTCTGATGTCTGGATTGCTCTGGTTTGGGGATGCAAGGTTGGTACCACATTTCCACAGGTTACAGTCTGTCTCCAACAAAGTAGATTTGGAAAGAGAATTCCAGGATTCATGAGATTTATTCATGGGTAGTGATGACGGGGAATGGTAAGCTCAGAGCCAACCTGGGCCCATGCATGGAAGTCCCAAAGCTGTGAACCTTTTATTTCTCCACTGTTTACATTTGGAGGGGTACTTTTACAGCTCCTCATGCGCCTTCATTCAGTCTACTGACAAATCATTGGGAATTCAGTTTCTTTGGTATAAATGGTTTGTTTTTCTCTTGTGAGGAGGGAGTTCTGGGGAAGGGATTTTTTTTTTTATTTGTTTGTTTAGGGTCTTCCTATGTACCCCTTATTGGCTGTATAAACCAGGCTGGCCTTGAACTCATAAAGTGAGCCATTGTATTTTTTTAAAGGAAGGAGTATTTTTTTAAAGGACGACTCCAGGAAGCAAACAGCTATCTCTCACTTGTATCCCAGAAATGGTTAGGAACCAAACCTCTGAATGCTACAGAATGGCACTGAACTCTGCCCTGGCCCCTTCCTAGCTGAACCCCAATGTCATGTAGCCTCTGGGAGCCATAGTCCCCTCAAGTAGGGACAGTGATGACAGCCCCTTTATAGCTGCTTAGAATTCACACACAAGAGTTTCCAGCCATCCCTGTCCTCCAGATTGTTCCATCTTACTATTCTTCTTTCTCTGGCGCTCGGCAGTTCTGAAGCACTTGGGCCTTCTCGGTTCTGGGATCCCTGAGCTTATCCTCCCCTCACCTCTCCACCCCGCACCCCACCTTTATACATTTCTCTCATTACTTTCTGGGCGTTCTCAAGGTACTCCTTTTCGCTATAGAAGTGTTCTATAGGATGTGGAGAACATCAGAAAACTGCCTGAACCAACCCCCTGTGGGACCCTGCCAGCAAGGAGCTCCGGAGGAGGGTTGAACCCAGCCCCCATGCTTGCTGACAAAAGGTAGATGACAATCAAGGATCAGATGTGACCCCCCCTCAAATAGTAACCACGGGTTCAGTGACTTTTACTCACACCTATTATCCTTTTTAGCAAGACTTTTAGTGAAATTAAACTTTTATCAAAATCATACTTTAACATTTCAGAATCACAGAGTTACTTTTTTCACCTTTGGTAAAAACTAACAGTGATGTAACTGTTGAGTGCTACTCAATGGTATCGGTTACCTAGGAGTCAGGCCCCATTGGCCCCTTACTGGTGTCCATCTACTCAGTGAAGATCCAACGGAAACTGGGTTTGACCCTGCAGCCCCATTTGGGACACTGGGTATCAGGAGCACCATTGCCATGCTGATTCCTTCCCTTCTAGTATAGCCAAAGCTTCCAAAGCCACCCCTAGAGCCATGCCTGTAAGTGGAGTTGGCCAGGTCATGTGACCTCAGAGTCAACAAGACATCTGGCCTGACTTTCCTTATTCTCCCGAATCCTCTTGACTCTTGGCCTCACCTCATACCCAATGGCATCTACACATTACAGTTACAAACAGTGCATGGCTGGCTCTCCTCTCCTCTCCCTACCAGCCAAGCTCTTGACTTTGTGCTACACAGTCCAATTATGAACAGGGCATGGCTGGCTCTCCTCTCCTCTCCTTACCAGCCCTCGACTCTGCTCTTTTTGCCCGCCTGTTGTTATTGCTGTTGTTGTTTTGAGTCACAGTCTCACCGTGTGGCCCAAACTGGCCTCACAGCAATCCTCCTGTCTCAGCCTCACCAGTGCTGGGATGCCTGGTCACCTATGATTCCTGGCGCGAATATCCTTGGTAGCAATGGTTTGTAACACAGTACTGTTGTTACAGGTCGGAAAAGACTAGTGTGTGCAGAAAACCTACACTGAATGCTGCCTATGAAAGCTTTGCCGTCTGGATGTGTGTGGCTGTCTCTGGGGAAAGTAGCGCTGTCAGGGGCCATGCCATTTTCTCCCTCGTACAAGTGAGAACCGGGAGGACAGGTTTATGTTTGTGAAGACAGGGAAAGAGCTGAGTTCCTTGTGGTAGAGGCGGCAATGGCATAAGCAGTTCAGACATAGCGCCTGCTGCCTGTGCCTGTGCCTGTGCCTCCACTCATTCTTGCTGGGGTCCCAGCCTGCCTTTGTTCTCCTCTTTTTCCATCTTTCATCTCCCAAGAACCCCCACTGCACAGAGCCACCGGCAGCCTATGGAGTTCCTTTGTGTGGAACAGAAAACAGTCTTCTTCCAGGCAGATGCAGTCTTGCAGGTGCAGAGCCTGACAAGCAGATGGTGCCTTTGAGCTCCCTGGGAAAACAAATAATAACCCTCTCCCTCTGGCACTGCCCTACTACTGTAGCACAGGGCTGGAAAAGCGGACCACAGGTCCCTTTCGGTTCCCATGTGCCACTCAGCCTCATTCACTGCCAAGCCACAATGGGCATGTAGCACCCCCCCCACACACACACACACACACACCAGCAGGAGCTGGCTTGCCTGCCTTCCAAGTGCCCACTGCCCCGTCTGTGGAACTCCTATTCACCTACATATGGCTCTGTGCCTTCTCCCAGAAGGATGTTGTATTATCCCATGACTTGCTTGTCAGCCTCTGATAAACTCATTCTCAGTGAAGGACAGGAAGTGTCCATCAAAACCCATAGCTATGAGGACTTATCTCCTAGTTTTCTTGTGTGGTATCTTAGTGGAAGCTCACAGCAAATCTTTAGGCAGATATTATTAGCCTGGCATTACCAATGAAGACACTGTCCCCAGCCCTGCTGCTCTGACCTGTGGTCCCCTTCTCTGTGCCTCTGGTCCCTGCTCCTCCTGCAGGGGCTGCTGCTGCTGTATGGTGCTTACCTGGCTGGCCTGACCAACCATGTCAGCTCTCCTCCGGTGAACCAGTCCTTGACCATCATGGTCGGAGTCACCCTCCTGCTACTCAGCGCTGGGCTAATTTTCGTGCTCACCAGATACTTGCACTCCTGGTCCAATCTAGTCTTTGGATTCACATCTGGAGGGATCTTCGTTTGCACAACCACCATAAACTGCTGCGTATTCCTTCCCCAGGTATGCTGGGAGTGCTCTGTGGGGGTCATTCTATTTTCCCTGCAAATACAGTAGTCAGAAGAAGGGCTAGGGGCCCCTTTGTATCTCCTCAGTGCTTAGGAGAAGACAGCTCTGTTCTCCAGTCAGGCCAAAGAGGGCTACCAGTGGCAGGGGCTGTTCCTTGAGATGGCCTCACCCCTGCTTCCCACAGCTCCCAATCTGCTCTGCAACTTACTGTGTAGCCCAGGCTAACCTCAAAGAGAAAACTTTTTTTTCTTTCTAATTTGGGATTTGGGATTGCAAGTTCATAGAGAAATTTCTACCTAGAACTTGTAGAAGTGAAATGGTTTTCCAAGCCAGGTGTGGTGGTGTACCCCTGTAACCTCAGCACCCGGGAGATGGAGGCAGGAGAGTCAGGCCATCCTTAACTACACAGTGGGCTTTTCCTTCTTTATTGGGGGGGGGGGAACTCTGAGTCTTCTCTATAATCTGGAGAGATTAGCCTGGCAGTGGTGTTGCATGCCTTTGATCCCAGAGCTCAGGAGGCAGAGGCAGGAGGATCTCTATGAGTTTGAGACCAGCCTGGTCTACTGAGCAAGTAAGTTCCAGGACAACCAGTGCTACACAGAGAAACTCTGTCGTGAAACACACACACACACACAAAGAGAGAGATTAAAATGTATTTCCTTTTATGGAGGTTAAGAATAAAATCAAATAAAGGATGGTAGAAGCAGAAAAAAAAAAACCCATCCTGCAAGGAGAGGAGAGGTGGAGAAATACTTAAACCCAGGAGGAAAGCTCTGGTAATGGTTTTCCGAGCTGATGGGCTGCAGGGCCTCATCCATCATATTAATGGTCTAGCCACTGGATGCTTTCTTTTTCCCTCCGGCTCTCCTTGTCTTCACCCTGAGGCAACCCCGACCCCTTCTGAATCCCACTGTTGACTGTCAAGGTTACAGTCAACTTTGAGCCTCCCCAGCATGACAACATAGGCACTTCAGTCTCCTTCCTGCTCAATAATTCTCAACAAAGCATTCATGGGGAGGGGGGTGGTTCATGAGCACCTAAGACTTGGTGCAGCTTTTGTGCCACAAGCTGGAGGGACTTTGCAGTATCTAAACATTGTAAGAACTGTTTTAGAGACAGGGTTTCTCTGTGTAGCCCTGGCTGTCCTGGAACTCTCTCTGTAGATCAGGCTGGTCTCAATCCCACAGAGATCCACCTGCCTCTGCCTCCTGAGTGCTGGGATTAAAGGCATGTGCCCCACCACCTGGCAAAAGGATTAAGGAAAACCCACAGGTGCAAAAGAGAACACATACCTGAAGGCTTGGTGACAATGCCTTCTTCTACAGTAGAAAGTGGTCCAAGATACTTATTTTGCTTGGTCAACAAGATTCCAAGGACATTGTCTCTTTTCAACAAAAGCAAACCACCAAGTCAGGAATCTAGTCTCAGATACTGAAATATTGAATGAGGACAAAAATGATGCTAAATTGAAATGAAGCATTGAATAGGCAATTTAGACACTGCAAAATATTGAGCTAACAAACTAAGGAAGCAAAAGACAGATAACTATAAAAGATTAAATAAAAATATAAAGAATAGGTGTAGGGGCAGAATTCTTAGTGAATAGTGGAAAGAGGGAGAAAGGGAGAGGAGGAGGAGCAAGGAGGCG